AGGACTTGAGTTTTATAGGGTTCCCAGCGTTCAGTATATATAAACAAACTGAGTCGGTGTCTGGTCATACTTACTAATAAAATTAAATAACCATTTTAAGATTAGAAAGCACAAAATGGTCTGGATAACTACTAGATTTTATTAAACACAGAAACGGCAAATATAAACTTGCACTTTTATTTTCAATAAAATTATTTTAATTCTTGAACATACGTATCGATGGATCTAACAAAGTAAAAAAACAAGTAAAGGCCGATTTTTATCTCGTCCGTATCATAGCATTTTCTTTTGTGTCGAAGTCTTAGTTACAGGGAACTTAACTTCGAAGGTCATTACATTTATGAAACAAAAAACCCTTCGACTTTGCCTTCCATGTCGTCCATATTAATATACTTTCAAAGCCTAATTCAAAGCGAGGCTAGCAACTCGCAACTCGCAACTCGCAGCTCGCAACTCGCAACTCGCAACTCGCAACTCGCAGCTCGCAAAATAGCCGACCCCGTTGATCAATACTTTGTTCAAATGTTGACATGGTTTGAAAGAGTCTTTACGTCTTTTAGTACAGGAAAACAGACCTATAGGTAAACATTGTCAACATTCCATGTTAAATTCAACAGCGATGTTTGAGCTTTCCCAATTTTTACTCATAAATCTTTTATTTACTTTTAGATTCCTTTAAATCATGGCCTTGAGGATTGTTTGTATTATACTAAAGATTATCGAAATTGTAAGATGAATTTGTTTAATCCAAGATAAAATTTCGTATTTAAACCTTTCTTGTGCGGTTTTAAATTCGATCGATCGATTCAATTAAATTCCAATTTCGCGCACTGACAAAACACCTTGTTTTAGATCAATTTGACTCAAATGATGGAATTGCAAGAATGGCATCTTATAGTTCTATTTCAGATGGAGAATGTGAAAAAATAATTATATACTCACGAGATTGAAATTATTCTCTTCCGAAGAACCAAGTACACCTAGAAATGGTGGCCTAATAGCAATTTAACTGCAAAAGCCCATTGTGTTGTTTTTCTATGAAATTAATTCGAAATTCGTTTATTTTTTACACGTAAGATAAGCTAGTAAAATAGCTCTTCAAGGTTCTACCTAATCATCAGTTTGCAACTGCTCGATTTGTAATGACTTCAATAGAGCGGTAACAATGCTATAAAACCTGGAGAGAATCGTCTGCATTAAAGGATTATTGATTTCTTATATCTTCTTGGGCGAGACTTTTTTTATTCATTGGTTTACGGATCCGTAAATATTCAGAAAGTGAAAAATAAAAAATAAATTTGGATGTCAAAAATTTTACAATTTTAGTTAATTTTAATTAATTTGGGGTTCTGGCATGAAGTACACTTCAAGTAAACTTTGACTCTAGGTACTGCTGGCTCATGTTATCGTTGTGACAATCAATATGTAGATTAGCCACGTTTTTTGCGTTTTTTGAAATTGACGTTAAAAAATTTTATAAAGATTATTAATTTCGGTTCTCATTTATACTCAGTTCGTCTTTTTTTAAAATTTTTTTCCGACCTACCGACCTCTTATTTTTAAAGTCAAATCCGTTAACCAATAAATAAAAAAGTCTCGCCTTGGGAGGAGTATGAGTGTAATTTCTAGGTATAGTATTCGCTGGCTCTTCGCGTTGTGAAGTGACATAAAATTTCCTCAAAACAACTCCTCCTTCGCTTCATATATCCTCTTAATTAAAAATATCAATTCCACTTTTCGGCAGGTTGTACTAGTGGCAGGAACCGGTCTTGTTGGTTACTTTATGAAAGAGTCATATGACGATACAAAGCCGGAAAACGATGATCGGGTCAATTCATATGACCTCGGTCATTTTGGCAGATTTGAATTTTTCTTGTACACTACATCTCTTGGAGTGATTATGGTAGTTCTTTCGCTTGTGGCATTAATCACTGGGCTACTGGAGAACAAGTAAGTTCTGTTAAATGCGTCAGAGACTTTTAGCAAATTTTATTTTAATCAGTAACTAACCATAAGAAAAATGAAGGGAGCGAAAAGACAAGTTCCTACTATGCATGGATTTCGGTGCCCACAGGAAGTTAGGCGCGGTGATCTCTACGTATATCTGGAGTGGGAATTCGAGTCCAAAAGGTGAAGCCAGATGTGGCTATTGAACGTGAGGTCTACTCCCTTTTCTATAGTTTTTGCCTTCGCAAGCGCGCAGTTTGGTTGTGTTGCACTTGTTTTGCGCAAGCATCACGCACGCCAACGCACTGTAGTGCCACGTCTTTTACGGTTCGCTTGGTGCACATGCATATTTTTCTCCCATAGTGACAATTTTTCTGCCATGCATGTTCTGGCTGCATGCATAGTTTTCCAGAATATTTTTCTGCTAAGATTTTTTTCGTTCTTCCCTTCAATGGTCCGCCCCCCACAGTGGCGTAACGCGTGCCGCTGTCGGTCAATGTGGCTCCCTAAACCTTTTTAAATTAAATAAAGATTTTTGATTTGGATATGATTTTTTGGACAATTATTACTTGTTCAAAAACAAAGAGTATCTGACTTATATAATACAAGGGGGGTGTGAATAGGGGTATACAAATCCAGGGGCGTAGGAACACATTCGAGATTGGGGGGGCCGAATTCCTCGAGGCGCCACCATGGTTGGCGCCGAGCGGAAATTTTTTTGAAAATTAGAGGCTCTAGATCCTTGGAAATGGCCATTTCAGAGCCCTATTTAGCCATTTCAGTTTCGAATTTCACTGCATTTATTGTAAATTGAGTAAATTCAATGATCTTTGGGGGGGCCGAAAGCTATCTCGGCCCCCCTTATAAATTTTGGGGGGGGGCACGGCCCCCCCCGGCCCCTCCGCTTCCTACGCCCGTGTACAAATCCGCCGATCCAACCAAATTTGAAGCAAAATCCGCGATCCGAGAATGGTCTTGTCTAAATTAGAATCCGGCGCTAAAAGCTCTACTATGAAGTCACAATCCAGGATCCGAACTAAATTGCAAGCTCAATCCATAATACTAGCCAAAATATTAGATAAATCCGCACTGATCGATCCGCTGTATTTTTAAGATCTGCAAATCCGTATAAAATATTCGCAAGATCCGAAATCCAAACAATTTTTCTGTGAAATCTGACGACCGAAAACCCATTCACCCCTC